AGGACTTCATTTTGAGTCCTTTCAAGATTTTAGTAGCCATTTTCTGGACCAGTTCCAATTTATGATTTTTTTGTAAAAGAAAAGAAAAGAACTGGTGTGCAGAACTGAATGCAATACTTCAAGTTAACCTGACCATATACCATGTTTTCCTGAAAGTAAGACCCTATCTTACTTTCTTTTGGGCTCTGAAATAAGCAGAAGGTTTTACTTTCGGGGACAGCTTACTTTTTGCTGGTACTGGCACCAATAGGCGCGAGCATGCGGGGTGGGGTGGGGACTGTGCATGGGGTGGAGAAGCAATGCGGCAGTGAGAGCATGGTGGTGGACCAGATATGGTACTGGTATGGCCATGGTGGGCGGTGGTGGAAAGGATGCTGACCCTGGTGCTGGGCGAGTTGGCAACCGCCAGAATGCCACACCTGCTGCCGGCCTGCCAGGGCCCTTTGCCAGTGACTGCTGGTGGAACTGGCTACTGCTGGCCCCATCCTCTCCATCCCACCACCTGCTTGCCTGCAGCCACAATGAACCAAACCCTCAGCAAGCCCCAGCCTCTGCCTGCCTGAATGCTGGCCCTACTGACATTTCTCAGCTGCGTTGGGTATCATGCGACTACCAAGTGGTTGCCCTTGTTGCTGGCCTTGTGGAGCTCTTTGCCCTCTGCCGGCATGCCTACTCAATGCTGCAGGCACCAGGCTAAGGGCTGAACCTGGCACTCTTTGGGCTCTGGCGGGTGCTGCATCTTTCATACCAGCTGGATGCTTTTGGCCTTTACTGGCTGCTTCTGCCAAATCACCTTCTGCCTGGCTGGTGGTTGCCACCATGAGGTTAGGAGGCGAAGCAGGTGGCAGGGGTTGGAGTTGCTTCCCTCTGCCTGCTGGACACCTGCTGAAGCCTTTCATGGTAAGGTTGCCATGCCCCCCCCCTGCCCAGATGCCCTCGCCTCCCCAAGCGATTTTTACTAACCTGCCTTTCAACTGCATTGTGTTTCTCCGTTTCCTTCTCAGCCTTTGCTGTGTGTTTGTGGGACAAAAAAAAGAAAAGTTCAATCAGACTTTCTAACTTTGTGAGATCTCACGAGAAGTTAGAAAGTCTGATTGAACTTTTCTTTTTTGTCCCACAAACATGCGGCAAAGGCTGAGAAGTGAACGGAGGAACAGAATGCAGCTGAAAAGCAGGTTAGTACAGAAAAAAAAATGCTTGGGGAGGTGAGGGCATGTGGGCGGGGGCGTGGCAACTTTATCCTGCATGGCTTTGGCAGGTGTCTTGCAGGCAGAGGAAAGCAACTCTACCCCCCCCCCCACGACCTGCTTCGTCTCCTTAACTCATGGTGGTAGTGGCAAAAGGCGATCCAGCAGGAGCAGCCGGTAAAGGCCAAAAGTGCCCAGCTGGTATGAAAGGTGCAGTGTCCGCCAGGGCCCAAAGAGCACCAGGTTCAGCCCTTAGCTCGGTGCCTGCAGCACCAAGTAGGCATGCAGGTTGGCAGCACTCACCAGCCCAAAGGCAAAGGCGTGGGTGGCGCGGTTTTACTGGTGGCCACTGGTGAAGGGGGGCCTCCAGGGAAGATCTGGGCCAACTCACTCTGCATCAGGCAGGAGCAGCCACCTGGGCAGCCCAGAGCAGCACAGCCAGGAGAGCAAAGAGCCATACAAGGCCAGCACCACGGGCAGCCACTTGGTGGCCGCATGGCACCAGACGCGGCTGAGAAATGTCCTAGCAGCAGTAGGGCCAGCAGGCAGGGTGATCGGAGGCTGGGGCTCACTGAAGGTTTGGTTCGTTATGGCCGCAGACAAGCAGATGGTGGGACAGAGAGGGCAGGGCCGGTGGTAGCTGGTTCCACTGGCAGCCGCTGGTGAAGGGCTCTGGCAGGCTGACAGCAGGGAGGGGTGCTCCAGCAACTGCATGGAAGATCTGGGCTGACTCACCCCACCCCGTGCTAGAGCTTACTTTCGAGGGATGGCCTATATTAGGCCCATCCCCCCAAAATCAGCTGGGGCTTACTTTTTGAGTAGGGTTTACTTTCAGGGAAACACAGTAATTACTTCCAGCAATCTGGACTCTCCTTTTTGATACACCTCAAGATGGTGTTGGTCTACTTTGCAGCTGTTGGAGTATGTTGAGCTTGTGATTCACTAGTACACCCAAATCCTTCTCACGTGTGAATCAGATCTCCCTATCCTGTCTTGTTTCTTATATTTTTTTTAACTTAAATGCATGACTTCACATTTCTCCATACGAAATTTCATTATGTTTGATTCCACATATTATTCTAGCTTATCTGAATGGGGGTGGGAGTTGTATTCTTAGAAGTATTAGCCACTTCTCCTTGCTGGCATTCCTGTCATCCCTAGTCCTTCTTTTCATTAAAGTAGACATACCCAATTCTAGCAACTGTTCTTTATACGTTTTAGCCTCCAGTCCTCTAATCATCTTTGTTGCTCTTATCTGCACTTTTTCTAGAGTCTCAACATTTTTTTATATCATTTATAAAAGTATTGAACAGCACTGGGCCCAAAGCAATGCCCTGTAGCATCCCATTGGAGATGTCTCTCTAGGTAGATTTGATACATTTTATAGCTATCTTTTGAATACAATCTTTGAGCCTACTGTGGATCCACCTACATTTGAGTTGTCAAACCTGTACTTGTCTATTTAGTTATTAAAAATGCTATAAGAGACTTGTAAAAAATAGGTTGTGCTGTTTTGTGTTGCAATGCAATGCTAAAGTATAAATTGAAGCTAATCAAAAATGCATTGGTGATTCTTCTTATTAGGGTCAAACACTAATGTTACATTTTTATTTTATGGACTACATTGACTCATAGTTTATTTCCAGAATCAATTTAGCATAAACTTTTAACCTTTAAATAAGCACTGGAATATTCAAAGGATTGCTGAGCTGTTTAAATGGCTGCCTGTGTATTAAGATTTTCAACAGAGACTGCTCCTGCCTTAATTTGAGGAATTATAGTTGACGCCAGAGGCAAAGGTTTACTCAGCAATAGCATCTTAATGTGGGATATTACCATTAATGAGATATATCTAATGTTTGGTATTGTTTCAATAAAAGGTGAAGGTATTTATATATTTTTAATCCACTTAAACTCCTATACTATTCTTATACATTTAATCAATGATGCTACTCCTTTCTATTGTGATGCTTTAATGTTCCTGTTTTATTATACTGATTTTAATATGTGAAGTGCAATTTTTAATATTTGCATGTTATTCTAGAACCCTATTGAAGAAAACGAAATATATCAAGTACATAATTAAAGATAAACTGCTCATTAATTTGATTTTTGTGGTTCCTTTAATTCACAGGATATTATCTGTGTAAGAATCAATGACCTTTAAAATGTAGCTTTTATAGCAGTGCTTTTTTCATGTGATCAAGATGCATGGCTTCCATTTCATGCTTTTAAATGGAATGACTGCAGACTTTGTTTGACTGCAAATATTGTATTACATTTTGTTTGACAAGGAAAGCTAAAAGGTTTAGATTTTATTCAGAATTTTGTAATTTAAATGTATAGAAGATGTAAAGGAGCTATAATTACATGCCAAAACTACAAAACCAATTGTACATATTTACTTGGTTCTTATCTTGCGGTTATAGTATATAACATATCTTTTTAGAAAGAGGGCAAAGGGGTATGGTTCCTACCCTTCTGAAGTACTCTAGATATATAGTTATCCATTCCTCTTAACTTCATTCCATCCTCTCCTTCCAGTTTAATCCCAGATCCTGCATTATCTCCACTAAATGTGTAAGCAATTTAGATCATTAAAATTTTAAATTAGTGAAAAGTACCCTTGATTATTAAAAAGCTTGCAAAGCAACTAGTGTTGTTTAAAAGAAAGAGAAAAAAAGCACAGTAGAATTTTAATGAATCAAATATAACTAAAATCAAGATGATTAAATCTATAATAATTTTGTTGATCCAATGGCACATCCTAAAGTTTTTCATTTTACTTTTTTGCTTTGGCTGTCATATTCTATATCATAACTTTCTAAAACTGTTTCATTTCTACAAAGTAGGAATTAGGAATCACACTATTTGGGAGATAGGTGGCATATAAATTTAATAAATAAATAAAATTAGTAATAAAATCAATTGTAGAAAATTCAACTGAAATTAAGTTTATTAAAAAGGGTTGAAAGTCGCCCTGGAGGGGTGACCACCATTGAGGAGGCTCCTCATCGACTGTGGGAGGGTGGCAGCAATTAGGGCCAACAGAGCAAAGATCACCCAATAAGATGGCCAATCACCTAGCTGCACCAGGTGAAAGTCACAAGAACATCTAAGTGTAAAGAACCACCGTGGATGATCTGTGTGAGACCTTTTCCTTCTTCTCTTTACCCTATTTTTTTTCCTTGTAAAAAGCCCCTTTGAAATTATTTTCCTGCCTTCCCCTGTCTGTGGGGGAAGAAAAGCTTTGAATAAAAGGAAAGAATAACTAACTTCCATGACTATTTTTACTTGTGGATACTCTGGGTTCCCGGAAAAACCCCTATTACAGAATTTTACTACCTGATCTAATCTATATGTGGAGAATATTATTTTTCCTATTTCTTTAATTGGGAAAATTTTACTGGCATCTGGAGAAAGATTTTATAATCTACTGGGGACATCTTGTGGTGAAACTCAAAACTGCAACTGCTTTCTCTTTTTTGATGCTGAGGTTGGTTTTGACCTTCAAATTATCATAAAATGGAAAAGATAAAGAAGTTGAAACAGCTGCTAGAAATTGTGGGGGTGGTCATTGGCTAACTGTTATTAAATATAGCCTCCACTAAAAGATTAAAGGACTGCTTTTAACTACCACTAAAATGGAGAAATCCTATTTACAAGTTAACTGTAAACTTATACTGGAAAAAAATCATGAAGCCACTGAGCAAGTATGTGCCAAAATAAAAGAAACTATTATAGAAATAAAAGTCAAAAACCCTACTTCAAATCTGCAAACTGACCTCCAGACTTCAACTGACTATTCTACAGGCCAAAAAACAACAGAAGAGGAACCAATCAATACCAAAGAGGATTTTATACCATCCAATATATAACCCACTGAGATTTTGGATGATCAAAAAGTAACTTTAACTAAACCATATATAACTCCAAAAGCAACAGGAATTGATGTACAAATACAATTTATTGAGAACTATGACGACTTTGATAACCAACCATTAATCACAACATTGGACACAACTGAGTGTGCTACTCAGTTGAATCAAACATCGAGATTTGAATTTTTAAAGCAACAAGGGATTAATCACAAAGGAGTCAGGTTCCTAAAACAAAGGATGGGACGTTTTCCCTTGACCCAAATGATATCACGAGGAATAAAGGGAGACTTATTTGTTAATATAGAGGCTCTGTTATGGAAACCTGCTTGGCACAAAAAGAAAGCCAGAATAAGACTTAAAAATGAGACTTAAAATTGTATGTAATGGGTTAAAAAGGCCTTTCAGAGACACGGATTGACTTAAGGTTTAAGATTCAGACTTATAAGCAAGAGGAAAATTGTTGGTTAATAGAATATATATGTGAAATAGAGTAAATGTATTTTTTGAAATAATATGCTTATTTTATGTACGATAACCACTTTGTAATGGAATGAGAATAAGAAAATGGATTGTGATAATAGAAAACATGGTATTAGTAAATGAGGAGTTAGCAGAATAAGAATAGAATATGTTTAAGAAATATAAGAATGTAATTGTTGGAACAATATGTTTATTTTTAGAAACTATAATTACTATGTTATGAAAAGAGGGAAATTAGGGATACCCGAAATATAAACAATATACTCATTTATGGCTAAATTGAAATACAAAATTTGAATTTTGTAAAGCTTAAATACAGGATTGGGATTTGTATAGTTAAAATGTTATTGATAATTTTATTTATTGATTGAATTTCACTAGAAATGTATTAATCTGAATATGGTATATTATTTGAGAGAACTAGAGAGGGAATTTTTAATGAGTTAACCTGAGCTATATACAAATGACTTTGTTTTTGAATAATTGATTACCCCATCAACACGCTGTTTCCTAAGCACCTTGATGTAAGAACTGAAAAAACTCAATAAAACTTGTATTAAAAAATGTCGTTAAATGTAACCAATTGTACTTCAGCTGCTTTCCATGGAACAAGAACTTCTTCAATATTCCAGTAATCTGGCTCCAATAAATTGAGAAATTGTAATGTATTCCTATCTTGAATTTGGCTATGATTTGCTTTTAAGTGTTCACAATCCATTAGTCTTTTTTTCAAATTAATTACAATGTTTTCTAAAAGTCTTTCCCAAGGAAGCCCGACAAATCGATGATGTTCTACAAATTTTACATTTTTGAAGGTTTCTGAAGTAATTAATTCATCAACCTTTTTTTCATATGGACCCTTTTCCTTTCCAAGCATTTGAAATGCTTTAATAGCTTATCACAAGTTTTTTAGCCTTTATTATGTCTATATTTCTTGCTTGCAGTGCATTTGAAAGAAGAGAAATTCGCTTAAAATATCAATCATCAATGCCAAATCAGTTATAAAATATTTATTTTCAAGACAAGCAGCCATGCCTAAGTACTTTTCATTTGAATAAAAATAATAATGTAGCACTGGATAAGCGAGCCACACAGCTAGGGTTGACATTAAACTACAGGCAGTCCATCTTGGTCCCCAAACTGTAACAATCTTTATAATTTTAATTCCAAGTTGTTTGGATATTTTGGTAAGTTCAATTTGGTTATTATTGGATTGATGAAAAATAGTATATATCTTATCAATAAATATTTTAAAATGATTTACTTGCTTTATTTCCTTTATCGAAACTAAAACAAGATGGAGGCGATGGTTTAAACAGTGCCATATTATTATGTTTGGAAAACCTTTTGCTATCCTAGTGCTCACTCCAGATTTTCTCCCAAGCATAACGCTGGCACCATTAGAGCAAAATCCTATGAGCTTTTGATGAAAAATGTTCTTTCATTTTTTCCTTAGAGAAGCTTGTTGTACATCTTTATTTTTCCCTGATGCCTCAATCTGAAAACCTTTCCATTCTTTTGACACATGAACACTTTTCTCTTTTGTGAAGTCATATTTTGCACAATACTCGCAACCTACACTTTGTTAGAAATTACCAGTTCGTCATATTTTTCTTTAAAATTGTTATATTGCTGCACTGTCCAGCATTCAGGAAGACTATTTTCAATTGTACTCGTTTTTTATTTCAATAATTGACGTGCTCCTTTCTTCAAGTTGGTGCAATTGTGCTTGTGACTGTTTTGTACCATCCATGGCCAATTCTGATACAACTGATTCCAATTTTGGTTTCTTATTGAAAAAAATCTGTCAAACTCTGTTGCCTTTTCATCCTTTTGAGGGCTACTGCAAAATCATTAAAATGTTTTATTTTAATATATAATAATAATACTATCTATTTATGGACATTACTCTTTATTGAAGATTACAAGATATGGTACAAAAACTTATTGAAAAGTGTATGCATCAATAACTAAGCAAGGACATGTAATAAAGAATACAAAGTTTTATAACATATTATTACTACAATCACCAGAGGAAATTATAGAATAAAGAGGAGGCAATAATTAGAATTTAAAGAAAAAGAAAAAATGGTAAAAGATAAGCCGATAGCTGGGACAAAACAAAAATATCCCAAAAATAAGCTGGTATTGCTCAAGTAGAAAGAATATCATGATTCAAACAATATGTCTAAACTACATCAGTATCAGTATTTAAAATTAAGGTATTTTAAGAATAAAGGAAAAATATATAAGGGAATCCCACCACTGGTGCATTTACAGGGGTTAAAAGTAACTTCCTAAATGTTAGAGTTAAATCATCTTTAAGTAAATCCTATTTTTATAGACTAGGCTGTAGAATCGTGCCAGCATCCATTGTTCACATTTTTTCTTTCTTTTTTATAATATTTTATTGGTTTTCCAGTTTTACATTTGAATATTTGGAAAGCAACGTGGTGATTGGTTAATCAATAGTTCAATAACAAAATCTTTAGTACATATCTCTGGTTATATCATCAAATGTTTCTTCCCTGTTTCCCTTAACATGTGCTATATCATATTTAAGCTAATAAATTTCTAATTGTATCAAACTCAGTGAAAACTTCATTATCACATTTATCAATACATTTTTGCTTATACATATCTTAATAGATCTTCATAAACAATCCATATCCTGTTATTAAGTTTTACCTAATTTTTAGTTTTTAATTACAGTACTCCAATTTAACCTTTAATATCCATAGTATTTGACTTTTGGGTAACCCAAATTTCCTTTGTCTCATTTCATAAAAATTATAATGTCTAAAATGCACATATTACTTACTTAAATATATTCTTATTCTATTTCGTAAATGTTTTCTATTTCTCACCCTAGTACATCACCACCTTAATAACAGAGTATCCTTTGTTAGCTCAAGTCCATCATCTATATTGTCTGGGCTAGTCAATAGTTCAAACCTATTTCCTAATAATTAGTTTTCTTTTCCCTTGTAAGTCTAAGTCTTCAGTAATAAACAAATTAATTGCTTATTTTTTAGCATTTTCCAACTATTTCAAAGCTAATAAGCAAATTTCCCCTTGTTTCAAAATCTCCCTTTAGCCCATTGGCTGACAATTTAGGATCCTCTCTAGTAAGTTAAAAGACCCCAGTTTTTCAACCTAATTCTAGCTTTCTTTTTTTGCCAACCAGGCTTCCATACCAATGCTTTTAAATCATCAAATAGATCTCCCTTCATTCTTGTGTATGTTACTTGAATTAAAGGAGACTTGAATTAAAGGAGACCTAGTTGCCAATTTTCTAGGAGAACGGCCCATTTATAATCATTAAGTTGACACCCTGGTGGCCCAGATCCCCATATTTGCTCTGATATAGTTGTCTTCAATTTAATCTTCTTTCTCAGATTTCTTCTGGTTTGTGTAGAAAGTAATTTCCATTTTTAAAGTTGTTGTTTCGTTGTCTGGATTTTCGGTGAACAGTACTTGTTGATCTTTAAAGCCCTCTATCTTGGTATTCACTTCTTCCACTTCTGTTGTTTTTGGGATTGTTGGTTCTTTAACTGCAATCAAGATTTTGCTTTGTACATCTGGGCTGGCACCTTGGTCTTTCAGATTAGATCTCATTGTCTCACTGGCTGTAAGAATAGTTTCAAGTATAAGTTTTAGTATAGCCAAGAATTTTTGCTGGCCCTCCTCCATTTCTGGCATAGTTGCAGATGGTCTTTCTAGTGAATGCTGTTTATTAAACAAGAGTCAGTAAATGTTCACCTCCCCAGTTCCTAGAGACCAATTTCACTGCCCAGCTGCTCTCTCAGCTCTGAATCTCTCATAGATAACACCAAGGTCAGGTCTGGGCTGTAAGCAAGTCTCTTTGTCAGAAATAATAAATTATTGTACCAAGTTTTGCCACAAGATGTCCCCGGTAGCATTTAAAGTCTTTTTCAGATCTTGGGCTAGGTTCCTATCCAATTTAAATTCTGTTTTGCAAATAGAATAAAACAGCAGGCCCCAGTGAGAGAAGGAACTTTTTGGGTCCCCAAATTCCAAAAAGATCTAAATCCAATTATATTAAATTGTTCTTTTCAATGCTTTATTTCCCCTGGGTAGTCAGATGCCACCATTTTAGAGGGTGGGAGGAAAAAGTTCCCTTCCCTCTCTCTTCATGGGAAAGAAATTTCAAGCAGCTTTTTACAGGAAAGTACTCATCCAATTCCTCTGCATTGCTTTCAAAGTGCTTGTTGGTAAATTTGGCCTCTGCTGTCAGCGGTTTAGTAATGGACCATGTTGATGGCCAATCTTTTTGCTGTCAGTTTGAAGAGCTGCCCTGGATCAAATGGGAGGGCTGCTGCCCTTCTGCGATCACTCAGGGGTCTTGTTCTTGCTCATCATCCCTACAGGGCAATTTCTGACCCACCTCAGGGTCCCCTGGCGGGACAAAACCAGACAGTGGAGAGAGCAATCGCTCCACCTGTCCGCCAACACCGCGATCACAAACCAGAAGCCACATTTTTTTTAAAAAAAAGATGGTATGTATATGGCATAAATATAATCCCATAGAACATACATTTTAAACAACTCAGGGCTGGAAATGTCAGGTTTTTCTTGTAATGATATTGTCTGATTGCCTAAACTCACTATCACTAAAAGAAACCGTGTAGTCACAAATTTACAGCTGCTACCTAAAATAGTAAGATTCCTTTCTTAAATTATTGGATTCTTTGAAAGCCATTCCCCCTCAGTTTTGATTAATAAAATTACTGGAACTTAAATTGGGTGGGCAGTGACAGAGAATTGACTTAGATCTGATCTACAAAAGCTGCTCTTATTAGAAAACCAGCTACACTCTGGTTAAGAGTGGAAAATATTAAGTCTCTTCCAAATGACAAGATAGCTGTCCAGCTCTTAACTCACAGTAATTTTTGCTCAGAAATGAGAAACAACATACAACAGAAAGATGCTCTAGTTTTACAAATTTTTAAAACTTTGCAAAATAATTGCTTTTATTTCCCATTTGATCAAACAATCATTCTGATTTTCTTTTTGATTTCTTCTCCTGTTTCATATGACAGCACCATCTCCAATCATGAATGTGAAAAAAGGGAAAGTCGCCAAAAATAGCATTTCATTCTCCTGGCAGGAACCAGATCGACCCAATGGCATTATTCTGGAATATGAAATCAAATATTTTGAAAAGATGTGATAGTCTGTTTCCAAGATCATACTGACTTTGATTTCTTTACTCTTCTGTTCTTTTGGAATAATTTCTATTTAAAAAGTATTGACATCACTTCTTATTAAATTACTGCCAAGTATTGTATTCAGTTAGGAATTTTTAATATTTATGTTTATGCATGCATGGGCATATATTTTCACTAATACATTAGTCGTCTCAAATAAAAAAAATATTTTAGTTTCCCATCAGTCATTTCCAATCATATTGCAGTACAATAAAGATGATGTACACTGCAATGTCACACTCAAAATCACCATACTTCAATGGGACAAACTCCAATTACTAAAGAATTGAGTTTAGTTAGTGAGATTAGATGAGCATGAGAATATTGCCAGAAAGTCATGTACTTTGAAGTTATTGAAAATAGTTAATATAGCTAAAATCCCTGTAAAATAAAACAGTGCAACATAATGAAATGGTAGGGTGCCTTAGTAAAGAATGCCAGTAATGTTTTGTTGGCAAAGAATTGCTGACTTCATAGTTCTGTTTCTTAATTACGCTCATTTCCTATTTTTATTATTTTGGGAACTATTTTGGTTAAATATTTTAGTTTCAAAATGCCAGGACAATACAAAGAGAAAATCCACACTAGTAGTTTTTTGTTGCTCTATGCATCTCTGAGTGTTTTTACTTTCCCAACTAACAATTGCAAATTTGATTGAAAATGATGGGGCCTTTGCTTTATAGATTCCCAAACTGTTTCCCACATGACTGAGGTGTAATTCCCAAGTTTCCTAAGTGAATTGTTAAGTTAAACGCACCTAGTTGCTGATTGGCTCATGGTACACAAAATCATCAATAATAGCGTAGGCAGCAGAAGAGAGCAAGTAAATACAATTTTATAAATTGCTGCCTATTAACTGTTAACCATTGACAATCGGGGGCATTTTATACTGTTCACCAAAATGCAGTGTTTTTCTGCCAGTTATAACTACTGACTGGCAAAAAAAATATTTCAAAACCTTTTTGGAAAGAAATGTACAAATCATCAAGATCCAATTCAAATTCACCAATTTGATTCAAAAGCATGCAGTTTGTTTTGACAGGTAGATCATCATGGCATCTTCTAGAATCCTGTCACCTTCCTTGTGCAAAAGTAATAGGGATGAGGGCAGGTTTCCTATCATTTTAATGATGACTAGATAATGTGAAATCAAGGTGTGTCCCTAATGGGAACATGGCCTCAGAATATTTTTCAATTTGATCTGATAACAATAATAAACTGTTATTATTGGTTTAGTCCAGAAAACATTATATTTAACTTATTCTGTTAAATAAGACTGAACACATTCCCTTAATAAGACTAAAAAGTAGGTAGAAAATGCAAATATCAGTAGTGATCACCAAAATTGGAACTAATCTTCAGGCTTAGGTAGAATTAATAGAAAAAATAGAGGCACAAAATCAGACAACATGGAAAGATAGATCAGAGTCCTGGGTAAATAAATGAAGTGATAGGTAAGAGTTGTGTTCTCTATTGGGACAGGTCTTTAAAATGGGAATTATATATGTTTTCTAAGATCCTGCAGGTGCCTTACGAATTCCACAGAGCCATCCTCACATCGGCATAAAGACTACTGAAGAGAGATGTTTTTATGCCATCCTAATAGCACTGTGGAGGGTAGTGCATCCAAGCTGGTCAAGGTGAAGGCTTAATGAAAATTCAGAATTGGAATTCAGGCAATGGCACCTGCCTATTTGGAAAAAAAAATCATGAAATGTAGGATTGTACGCTAGGTTTATATTGGTTTGGAAATCGATATCCCAGATATGCTGCTTAAGATGATGCTTGACAACTTTTGAACTAGAGAACTAACAACAGGAGATTGCTATTAACTCTTGTTAGACTGGTTGTTTTAAAATGATGTTTGAAGACCAGTTAAGCCAAATCTAAAGGGGAAAAAAAATTAACCAGAAAGTAATGAGATAGTACTAGGCTTTGGCGCCCACAAAATTAAACCTGTCTCTAACCATAGAACAGCATTTTATATATATATATATCTTAGAATTACGAGGATAAACTTGGAATCAACAGCTTTTAGGATTTTAAAGTTTGTAAAAATGCAAATCTGAATATCATGAAAAAACTGAGAGATAACCATAGAAATTTGATTTGGAAATTCAGTTAGAAGTAGTAATTTGATCAACTTGCAACCTTATTATTTTGTAATTTCTTTCAAACATATGATACATTTTAAAGATAAATGCAATTATTTAAGAGTAAGCTACATCAGGAGTCCCCAACCCCCAGTCCGTGGACCAGTACCAGGCCACAGCATGCTAGCAATGTTAGGGACCTCTGAACTACGTTATTAAATTTTATTATGCTTAGTATTATATTTAGTATCCTTTAAGTTATTAACTTTTTATGAAACTCAAAATGTATTAATTTATTAAAATGTAATGACAAATTTTGTGATAGGCCTTCATTTAAAAGAAA